GTGTGTGTGTGTGTGTGTGTGTGTGTGTGTGTGTGTGTGCGTGTATCTGTGGGTCTGTCTGTTTGTATGTCTATGTGTTCGTGTGTCTGGGGATGGGTACAAAGAATGAGCCACAATATAAAGAAGAAAACCCTCTGGGTTTATATCTATACTAGCTGAGTACCCGGCTTTGCTCGGGGTCGACGCCTTGGCGTCACTGCTCCTACTGGTCTACGCCGCGGAGGCTTTTTCCATCTAGATCTACATGTACCTTGCTGTCTAGCATTTCACAGTCATATCTGGCTTCTAGATCTATATTGCTTTAGATTAGGTCTGCCTTGATTATCTCCTCTCTTGATCTGCATTGCTTTAGTGTATTGCTGTCTAGCCCTTCACAATCACAAAATACGGGTTTCGCCTTACACCATCACAAAAAGGCACTAAGAAAATAAGAATCCACGAGAGGGCTGCTACACTGTAAAAGGAACACACCGACGTCTTCAAAATCACAAAGGCAGCGTCTATAGCTTGTTCACTTTCCCCTGAAAGCGTTAAAAAACATTCTAGCTCATTGACAAATTTACCTGTGCCTGCGAAACTTTGCATGGCACTTCTACAGGCTAACGACCAAACAAAAATGTTTTTTTTCCCAAAATCTTGACCCAGTAACCAAAAAGTCTTTGTCTTTGGGCTGTATATTAAAAACAACTCTTTGGATGCATACACAGGATCACGTCTCCACGTACTACAGGTGAGTCTCGAAAATTACTCACCCCGTCTCTTGAATCGCGTTTCTTAGGTGAACGTTAAAGACTTACGCAGATTTGTTTCGTTTCTCAATAGAATAATCACAAAGGTCAAAGAAGGACGGGAACCTTGTGCCAAATATATTTGTCTAAATTCAGGAAATGAATAAATAAAAAATGGGGCTCCGTCATTGGGACCTATCTATCTTCTTGCTGGTAGGGCCTTCTTGTCAACTTTCAACTCTGTAGCTGTCGTAGTTTTATTGGAAAAGTGACACATGTGTTTCCAAGTTGCCAAATATATAATAGAATAACTCTATTTGATTTTGGAATTATGAAAATACGGAGTCGATTGAACCCAGGTTAAGAATCATTGGTATAAGCTTCATGTATAATGGTATAAGGCTTAATAACATGTATCATAATGCATGTATGTGGGGGGTTCATGAATGGCTCAGCCAAAGTAATCAGAATTTAAAACCCGGACGGACTTGTGGCTGTTTGAACCATAGACTTGTATACAACTTCCAAGGCCGAGCACTCTTGCGTACTTCCAGTTTATCGTGGAGCGCACACAAATATTTTAATTCGATTTGGAACCAAATTGAAGGGCAAAAAAGGAAACTGACACACACACACACACACACACACACACACACACACACACACACACACACACACACACACACACACACACACACACACACACGTACTTGATTGGAGCGAGACTTGTATTTTTGCCCTTCATTTAACGCGTCCATGATGTGCGCCCTCAAAAGGAATTTTTTAAAATTATTTTTATTTTTTATCGAGCAAAGAGTGGCAGCCATGACAGTGGCCGGTCTAGGGTATTGTAATTCAGGTCTATGGTTTTAACCTGTCTGACACGGTGCCATATTTCCCAAGTGACCCGTGTCTAATTAATGTCAGCGGCGGGGGGGGGGGGGGGTTGCTTTCTGGGGATTCCCCACGTCAAAGAAAACACGCACTCACTTGACTTCTCGCTGCCTTTGGCTCCTGCAAAAATTGATTGTGTTTTAAGAAAGTCGATCAATATTTCTGTAGTAACCCAAGAACAGGGCATTCGATCGCCGTATCTGCAAAGTGCAACTATGGCATCGGTGGCCTAATGGTCAGGCTCTCAGACTCGGAGCGTAAGGTCGTGGGTTCGAATCCCGTCAGGGGTCCAACGTTTGAGCCCTTGAGAAAGGCACTTTACTTTACCCGAATTTTTCTCACTTCACCCAGGTGGGAATGGGTACCCGGTATAGACAGGGAAAGATCTTGTCAGTTTGCTATTGTTTGAGCACTTAATCAGCTGCTTGCACGAAGCCTACCCTGTCGCCAGATACGATGTTTGAGCCCCCCACCCTCTAACCATCAGTCATTATCTGGCGTGCTAATGCGGCCATTCCTTTCATCTGGAGCCCGTCTTTCCCAGCAAATTTTATAAAGGTTCAACGTTTGGCCAGATCACGGGCTTCATAAGGAACATAAAAAAATTAACATCATCATCATCATCATCATCATCATCATCATCATCATCATCATCATCATCATCATCATCATCATCATCATCATCATCATCACCATCATGTCTGTCCACTGTCAGGTGTCGGAGACCCCCATCGGGCGATGTTTCACTTTCAACGGTCCGGAGTACGTGAAGAGGCACGGAGTGAGACAGGCCACTTATGACGGGAGGTACTCAGGACTACAGGTGTACGTGAATCTACACCAGGAGCAGTATTTTATCTATGACGACATCACGGCTGGGCTGAGGGTGAGTGGGTGGGTGGATATGGATGGATGGATGGGTGGATGGATGGATGGATGGAGGTACTCGGGTCTACAGGTGTATGTGAATTTACACCAGGAGCAGTGCTTTATCTATGACGACATCACGGCTGGTCTCAGGGTGAGTGGGTGAGTGGATTGATGGATTGATGGATGGATGGGTGGATGGACGGACGGATGGATGGATTGATGGATCGAGGGTGGATGAATAGATGGATGGATGGATCGACGTTTTTCTTCTAAGTATATGCAGATGACAAATTCTTTCTCTAAACAACGCAAACATATTTCTCTCAGGTATATCCAGGTGTTAAGTTCATACCTTAACAACACCACACGTGTGTTTCTCCCAGTCATATCCAGGAGATTATCTCACACGTACACCACCACACGTGTGTTTGTCCCCAGATCTTCATCTCCCAACACCCGGAGACCGCCCGGCTGTTCAAGGACGGCATTGACGTACATCCGGGTACATCCACCCGGCTCGCTCTCTCACCTGTCAAGGTAATGTTGGCCTGTCTCATACTCTCTCTCTCTCTCTCTCTCTCTCTCTCTCTCTCTCTCTCTCTCTCTGAACTACTGACCACTGTATCAAAGGTAATATAGAATCATAATTACATTTCTTTCATCACCACCATCATCACTACCTTTCTCATCCTGCATCAGGGTATAGGCCATGAACAATCACGTTCCACCTTTCCCTATCCTGGGCTAGCCTCTTGATGTTATTCCATGTCCATGTGTCCCCACTTTTCTGTACATCCATTGCTGTTATTCTTCTCCAGGATCCACGTGGTCTTCCCCTTGATATTTTACGCTGTGAGTTCCAATCTTAACACTTTCCTTATCATGCATCTGCCTGGCTTTCCGAGAGTATATTCATATATTTAATTATCCTGGGGGATCATTTTGGATGTTTTCACAAGTAGGCATACAAGCCGTCGACCTATAATTATATACCTTCACCCCTCCAATCCCCAGTTCACAATTCATCCCTCCCATCCCCAGTTCACAATTCATCTCTCCCGTCCCCAGTTCTCAATTCATCCCTCCAATCCCCAGTTCACAATTCATCCCTCCCGTCCCCAGTTCACAATTCTCCCTCCCCTCATCCCCAGTTCACCTTCCTGCCCGCCCCTTACAACTCATACGGCTCAGACACATGTGTGGACACCTCGGTCAATGACCTCCAGCCCAAGATGGTCAACGCCTCGTTCTACAGCCACCCGGAGTGTATAGAGCAGTGTCTCAACCTTCGTGTCTCACACATCTGTCAGTGCTACACGCACCTACTTTGTGAGTCAGACACACACACACACACACACACACACACACACACACACACACACACACACAAATCTGTCAGTACAACACACACCTACTCTGTGAGTCAGACACACCTGTCAGCGCTACTCACCTCTTTTACACCAACAGTCAATGCATGCGTTCAGATCTTGGCACCATGAAATCTAAAAAGAATACTCTTTCACCCATGGTTCTGAGTTTCAATAATGATAAGTATTATTTTCTTGGTCAGCTGATAACGTTAAACTGCAGGCTGAAAATAACAGTTTCAGCAGATTTACTCAATCTGGTTGCGCATGATCATTCAAGAACTTGAGACAATATATTACAAACAACATGGCGAAGTCTGTGACAGCCGAGAAGGACAAACTGTCTGATTCATAGTACTACTAACTGATTCACAGAGGTTTCATGTGACTTTCCTCTCCAGATGTGCCCGGCCTACGGGAGTGTACGTTTGGGGAGTATTTGTTGTGTTCCAGACCCTTGAAAGGTAGGTCCTTCTTGCAGTACTGGTGCCTTCCTGGAATAAATATTAATATTATTACTAGTACTATTATTATTATTTTTATTGTTTTTATTATTATTTATTATTATTATTATTATTATTATTATTATTATTATTATTATTATTATTATTATTATTATTATTATGTGTACGCTTCGCAGCAAAGTTGGTGCAAACAGTCGCAAATTCGTATTTTTACTCTTGATACTATGTTATTATTATCATAATAATAATAATCAATAATTACAACTTTATTAATCCTAATTACTACCATTACTAGATCTATCTCTTAATTTTGCTGGTTTTTGCAAGTACAACGTACCCGATACTTGGATACCTGGATACCTGGATACCTGGAGGTGTCATCTCTGACTCAGAGTTTGACGTGTAATGACCCTCCATCCTTCACGGTCGTGAGCTGTCGTTGCACATTCTGCCATCCAGGCCAGTCCATGTGCTTATGTTGTCCATCCATGTCATTCTTTGCCTTCCTCTGGCTCTCCTGCCCCACATCTTTCCTTCAAACACCTCTTTCACAGTGGTCCTGTGTCTCTGTAAATGGCCATAATACTGTATTTTTCTACATTTAATTTTTTCTCAGCAGGGTCTGTCTTGTGTGTAGAATCTGACACACCTCTTTGTTCGTCTTTTTTGTTTTCCCACGTATTCTGGCCATTCTACGGTGGCACCACATCTCAAACGAATTCATTTTCTTTTCTTCTTTTCTTTTCAAAGTCCAGGTCTCTGTGCCATATAGGCATGTGGGAAAGATGTAGCTTGACAGCATTTTCTTTCTTAAAGTGATAGATAGTTGCATAGATTAGAATAGTTTGTACTTTTGGTTGAATCTTGATTTTGCAGCAGCTGTTCTTTGTTTATTTCTTTTTCACTTCTCCCATCGTCTGTGATTGTTGCTCCAGATACTTGAATTGGTGCACTTGTTCCATTCTCTCCCCATCTATGGTTCTGTCTGCTGTTTTTCCAGAACATTTTGATTAGATCGTTGTTTTTGTTTTCTTTTCATCAATGTCGAAGCCTGTCTTGATGCTGTTCACTTTTACGACTTTCACAATTTTAGAAAGACATTCGTTGTGTTTGCAAGCAGGATTGTATCAGTTGCGTATCTCAGGTTACTGATGTTGCGGCCCCCAATAGTGACTAGCTGCAGGTTTTGTGATTCTCTAAAAATACATTTTGTACAGATGTTAAATAGATAGGGAGAGAGGACTCAACCTTGTCTCACTCCTCTATGGATTTTCATATACAGTTGTGAGTGTATTCTGATATTTCATTACACACTTTACTTGCTGACTTCTGCTGCCAGTAGAGATTTCCTATGATTCTTATATCTTTGTCATCAATACCTCTCTAAGCAGGCAAAGAGGTCTTTTTGGACTTGAATGTTTTTCTGTGCTGTTACATGTATGTTCATATGCAGAAGTTTTCTTCACTGGTGCCACATCCAGACCTGAAGCCCAACTGTTCCTCTCCAATTTCTTTGTCAATTTTGCCCTTGATTCTCCCCAATATGACTTTCAAAAATATTTTCATGATATGTGGCATAATTTTATATTATAAACCCGATATTATATTCATAATCTTTACTCTATTGTCACCTCCCTCCTTCCCCCATCTCCTTCCCCATCCCCCTCTCCCCGCATCTCTCCCCC